ATATATAAATGCCCCCGAAAGACGGATGCGGCATTTATTAATAAAAAATATAATTTTTATTAATTTTTTATATTAAAATGCCACCCCAAAAGTCAGATGTGGCATTTATTAATAAAAAATATAATTTTTATTAATTTTTTATATTAAAATGCCGCCCCAAATGTCGGACGCGGTATTTATTAATAAAAAATTTAATTTTATTAATTTTTTATATAAAAATGCCACGTCCGACTTTTGGGGCAGCATTTATTATGATATATATTAATGTTTAATAAAAAAATTCCTTCCCGAAAGTCAGATGCGGCATTTATTAATAAAACAATTAATTTTTATTAATTTTTTATATAAAAATGCTGATCCAAACGTCAGAGGCAGATTTTTGTTAAAAAAAACAACAAAACTGTTGTTTTTTAACATTAAAACGCCGTTCCGAACGTCAGAAGCGGATTTTTGTTAAAAAAATTTTTTGATCTGTCAGATATGGATACAGATTCGGATTTGTCGGATTAGAATCAAATCGGATTTGGATTTTTCAGATTTGGATCGAATCAGATTTTACTCAAATCTGATCTGATCTGATCTGTGCGGAATACTACTAGATGGTGATAAGCAATTTTTCAGATTTCACTTATCAAATTCTCGGGAGAAAAGTTATCATTGAACTTTTCCTACCTTAAAGTATATGTCACATTAATAGGTGAGTCCTATCTCTCTTGTACAAATGGAGTTTTGATAATGCTGGTTGAGACGCAGGTAGCTTTTTCATTATTTGACTCATAATTAGACTCGCAAATATTATAATTATCTGACCCTAAGTTGGATCCATTATCAGTACAACTGCTAGAGTCACTTAAGTATTCATCAGACTTGACACAGTCGTAGCGGGTGAGCGTTGGGCCAGATCTAGTGCAATCAGTTTGGTTGAAAATAGTTGAGATATACATGTTGTCAGTTTGAAAGAATTTATATAACTTTATATAAATCAGAAATGTTTAATTATTTTTTTTTATTCATTGAAAAAGAAGCAATAGCAAACTTAGATAGTAAAATACGAAAGAAGGCAAAATGAATTATTGCATCAAAGTGTAGTCTTCTTCAGATATTATATATAAAGAATTGGAAGAAGACTACACTTTCTAGGTATATACTTAGTATATGTATTTTATGTAGTTTTCTTCAGAAATTTTATATAAAAAATTAGAAGAAGACTACACTTTCTAGATATGTATTCAGTATGGTATAGCCTTTGCGTAATATAGAGATATATCAAAAAGAGATACGAAGTTTGCATCTCCAATTCTCTAATTAACTGATCCACTAACCTAAACCCCAAATATCACTCAAATATTTCTCAAATATATCTGATGCATTTATTTCGATGGATGTAAAAGAGATGTATAGCAGATTAGTAAAAAAACCATAAATAATCATATTCTTAATAGGTGATACTTAGGGTAGTCTTCTTCAGAATTATATTATATAAAATTGGAAGAAGACTACCCTAATACTAGTATATGTTCAGATATGGGTACTTTTATTGGCGCATTTATTTTTTTTGGTGAAGGCTTCTCCATAATCATTATATAAAATATTGGGAGAAGCTTTTATCTTTCTAAATATGTATTCGGGTAATATATAAATGGGCTAGCTATGATAATACATAACGTATTTCCAACCTCAGACGTAAAATTAGGATATATGTATTGGCAACAAATAGGCAATAGTTGGTTGCAAAATAACGCACTTATTGGCAATCAAATGGGCCGGCCATAGTACTGACTTTGATCTCTTAAATCATGTGCCTAAAAATGGAAGAAGGCTTCATTTTTCTAGGTATGTGTTCAGTTACGATATAGTTTTTGTGTAAGACTTATTTGCTTAATGTCGGCCAACGCTATTCTATAATTTCAGCTGGAACTTTGGACGTAATAACTCAGCATTCAAGCTGGTATATAAGTAAACTAAAACTGGTGAATAATGGAACCTTTCAGGCATTTAGCCAGTTCCCTACCAGTTCTTCAACAGTTTTATGCCAGTTTCATGACAGTTCCAGAAGAGTTCACTGATACTATCAGGGCGCTATCACAACACTATCATGATACCAAATTGGATCCTCAAAATACATGCCTAAAAAATCAGCCAGAGTTATACCATAAAGCTAGCAAAAATTAATAACAAATGTACTGCATCACCTATCACCTCTTTTTTTACCACTTTAAGTATTTTAAAAGGCAACCAAATAGACATATATATCATTCATATTTACTGACCAATAAATCACAGATAGGGAAAGCATGCTCCATCTTTAAGACATAATAATTAATAGATTATAACATCCTAATACATATTAATTAATAGATTATAATGTCCTAGTACATATTAATTAATAGTTTATAACATCCTAGAACATATTAATTTAGTACAAGCGGTTTATCCTAAGACATATTAATATATTAATATATTAATATGTCTTAGGACAAACCGCTAGAACAGTTTTCGGATGGTGTATATGTTCATGTGAATTCAAGTAGATGGATGAATGAGAATGAAATGATTTGGTAGGTGGAAAATGTGTGATGCTGACAAGCTAATTTGGGTTCAAATTCACGCTTACTTCTTGTTCTTGATTCATTTACTCATAGGACAGATCCTGTAAAACGTCATTTTAATGAGAGAAATATGGATATTACTGTGATTCCAGATAGACTAACCTCACGATTACAACCCTTAGATGTATTCTTGAAAAATCATTTAAAGCAAAGGTTAGTTTTAGTATTGCTGAAACTTTATGGATTTTAAAAAGATTTTTTATTAATTTTATTTTATTATAGGTTTGCCATACTTATAATAAATAGATGGATGAAGCCATAAAGGAATATACATCAAAAGGCAAAATTAAACGGCCATCATACTCACTAGTAGCAACCTGGATTAAAGAAGCATGGGATAACATTGATCCTGCAATGATACAACGATCTTTCAAGTGCTGTGGGATTTCCACAAGGATGGATGGCTCTGAAGATAATTTAATTTTCGATTTTGAAAAAGTGACAGGTGAAAAAGACATAAGAATTGATATTGAAGAAGAGGGAGAAAGTGATGATTTGGAAGGTAGTGAAGATGATGCAGAGGATGAATATTATGACAATGAAGAGGGAAATTATGTTAATATTTGGGGTTAGTTGATTAGAAATATTGATTAAAATAAATAAACAAACCATAAGTTCTTGGTGGGTTTTCATTAATATATTGACGCGTAATACTAAAACCTAAAACCAAAATCTTTCGGAAAGTAAATTGTTGAAAGGAAATAAAAGTTTTGTGCTTATAAAAAAAGAATACGCAATTTCACATTTTATAAACCTCTTATTCCGTGAAAATAAGCCTTTTACGGATATCATATGCTGAAACTCAGCCGCATTGTTTTTACAGAGATTGTGTAACTAACGAACATTAAAAAGCATTAGGACTTTTTATAGGTACTTTTAATTTTTATATTTAGTTATTTTACATAAAAAATAAAATAAATATTTTTAAAAAAAATTATGAATTTTCCACTTATTGAATACCTGGGTATTAATCGATTTTAACGTTGAAAAGTACCCATCACGGGTATTATTTTTAGGGGGTACTGTATACAGTGGCCAACGGCATATATTTTTGTGTTATACTTACTAGATTATTTATTAGAAATTGTTCTTCTTTTGGAATTCACCCAACAAGTTTTTTTATTGGAAAAATATTCTATGTTTGAAGGGTTGGAAATTTAACATAGGAAAATATAGTAAAAATGCAAAAATAATTTGAAGTTTATTTATTTAGTTAATGCGTAATAATTTTTTCAATTCAGATTACATTAATATTTAATAAACTATAAAAGTGATTATGTAGTACAGAAGCTTCGTCCAGAATTTAATGATTATATAAAAAAGGTTTCTTATTTACCTTGACGTGATTAAATAACGGGTCAAATAATTAACAATTATATTTTGTTATTAAATCAGTTGAAGTGTCTATTTTTTGTGAAAATTTGTATATAAAAAACCTGATACTTCAAATAAAAAGTTTAATGCTACGTAAGCTTTCAACTTTTAGCTAATTAATATATATTAAGAAATTAAAAAGTTACGATATAAATATATTAAATATATCCCTGCGAAAATTTTCGTTAAATACCGAAATTTGTAGCTTTGTATATTAACGTTATTTTGCAATAAATCAAATCACATAATATCACAACGATACTGCTGTTGATGAAATTATTGGTATGACATTATAGTTGACAACGTTAAAATTTCAGTCATGCGAATAAATGAGAAAATTAAGTTGTGTTTAATCCTGAGAATCATGAATTATATAAAGGAGCCAAACTCATTTATCTCATTTATCTCATTTAAAAGGAAATCCTTGTTTAAATAATTTATAGAAATTTAAATATGCTTAAACTTTTAAATCTTGAAATGTCAAGCATATGCCTTAAAGTTACGGATGCTTTAGATTTCAAATTCAAAACTTTCATTCAGTTTGTTAAAAAATTAAATCATTTTAAATTTTGTTTAAACTATTATTATTATAGAGATTATAATATTACAGGTACTTACAGTATATTTGTTTACTTGGCCTATTTGTTTATTAATGAAAGAACCGCTCGAATTTTAAGTTTATGTGAACCGGCAAATAAATCCAGCCTACCATTTTTCCAGGAAATCTCTAGGTTATTGAAATTCGATTAATTGTTAATTGCGGTCGTCTCAAGATTCCATTGCCAGCTATTTATATAATCTATTATAAATTTTAGCTCTAAATGTTTTTTTTTTTTTACAAATGACCCTCCTCAAGAAGCTGAACTTTGCCCAATTTCAATAAAAAATAAATTTCTTGCTAAATTTGGTGCGGACGTGCTTTACATAATTTTTGTTATCTTTTATAACATGATATCTATTCATTGACGTAAATGAAGCACAAATAAACAAATATTATAGTAGTTAAAAGTTGATAATATGGAAGCAGAAGATGAACCAAATCAGGTTCCTGCCGTTATGAATTTGGAAACACATTGTATTATAATTAATGAACTATCAGAAACCGAACAAAGAAACCTCAAAAAAACTAAACAACGAGGTTTATAAATATTTTGTTGATAAATTACACTTGATTTGGGAAAAGGCACAAGTATTCAACGAGTTTATTCTTCTCTCTTCAATTACAAAAGCTACATAAATTGATGTGAAAAATGGCGTTTAGACGTTGAAAATCAAACCTTTCAATTCATTAGTCTAATTTATATTGTTTTTTAATAAATATATATAACTAAAAAAAAAATAATCAAATATAGGGTCTGTTAAAAAAATGTAGTTATACGTAAAAAATATGAAAGAACTAGTAATCTAAAATTATTCGATTTACTGTACATAATATTAGGGCGATTTCTTTGAGCAACGTAGAGCGCTGTATATAAATATTATAGGTAGTAGTACCAGCCGTTAAAGTCAGAGTCGACGGCTGAATTGACTCTGCAAAAATCAAGTAGTCGACTCCGGTATTTTTGCAATGACTAAGCCGTAACTGAGTCGCTGTTCCAAATTAGATATCATGTCAGCATATCGTGAAATTCTTAATTAAATAAAGTTTCAAATTTTTAGTTGAAATGGATTCTGAAACTTTATTTATGATTAAACTTTTATTTATCTAATTTTTGCTACATTAATTAAATTATAAATATTTTCGTTAAATATTAAGATATTAATAGTAAAATTATGGTCGCTAATTACAAATGAGAGTCACGATTCAGCCGATGGCTGAGTCGACTGAAAATTGTCTAACAGCTGACTGAGTCGTCTCCAGAATTTGTACCGGCTGGGACTACTAATTGTAAGAATTGACGCAATTTATAATCCTTTTGCATACTAAGCTTTTGCTATGATGGGACCGACATGTGTTATAAAGGCTTTTGTACAGCTGAAAAGCTTAATCATCTGCACAACTTAAAAATGAAGATTATCCGAGAGATCAACACTTTTATTTTTATTTTTATTCTTAATAGAAGTAATATTTCTGTTTTAACCATAAACTTTTATGATTTTTACTTAAAAAATATTTAGTTATATATGTTAGAATCTTATTGTTACCTTCAAGTAATTTTTCATTATTATTTAAGTAGTTATCAATATTCATCGATAAAAGTTTAAGTTTACCGTTATATTTATTATTAAAACTCATTAAATTTTGATAAACTAATTTATTCTAACTTTAATGACCTTTAGAGAAATTAATTTGATAAGGATATAAGATTTTAAAAATGTCAACTAAACAGTTTTTTTAAATAAAGCTTAGATACTTTGTTAAAGTAATAATAATGAATCATAATTAGTATTATATATAGCGATAGAGTAATAGTTTAAAATCAATATAAAATAGTTTATTAATATTAAACTATGTTTATATAAAAAATAAATTTATAATTTATTTATGTATCCATAAAATTATAATTAAACGATATGCTTTAAAATCAGTTATTATGGTTTGTCACAATTAAAACTTCTGGAATACTTGAAATTATATTTAATTTATTTCTCTTACTTAAAGCATTTTTTCATGTCAGCACATAACTTGAAGCACGCGTTTATGATTGAAGAAAATATTATTGGCTTTAATATAAAATTAGTTCGCGCAAACTTCTCCCATAATTACGTTTATAAGTGAATTCTTATATATTTATTGGTTATAATATTATGTATAAGGATTTAATAGATAATTAAATATAAGATAATGATAATAATTCTATATCAAAAATATATTATATAAAATATTATTCAAATTATTAAATATCAAAATGAATTGTTTTAGAAATATAATCTATAAATTAAAAAAACTGATTAATTTATGTATTAATAACTAATGAATTATTTTCTTTACTTACTATTATTGATATTATCATTACAACTATCTTTGATACTTTCATCTAATAAAAATAAATAAATAATTATTATTTAGTTATTTAGAAAAATGAAGATTTAATTTATAATTTACCAATAATTCTAGAACTTTTTAAGAATCCTGTGAATTCTGGTAAGATTATCGTGCTACCATATAGTTTATTTTCTATAATAGGTCCAATATCTGGTGAAATTATAATTTTAGTTGGATTGTTTTCTTCATTCAAAATGATTTCATCAATAAGTTTACAAATTTCATCAATATTTGGTCTTTTATTAGGATTAGAATC